CTATCTCCCATGGTATAACTTTGATTGTTCTCAATTAACGCCTCGATTTTTAAAAAATATTTTAATTAATTAATTTATTTGGCTGTGCTGGGTCTTAGTTGCAGCACGCAGGATCTTCATTGCAGCATGTGGGATCTTTAGTTGAGGCATGCAAACTTTTAGTTGCAGCATGTGGGATCTAGTTCCCTGACCAGGGATCGGACCCAGGCCCCCAGCATTGGGAGCACGGAGTGTTAGCCACTGGACCACCAGGGAAGTCCCTAATATCTCAATTTGATCACTAACAACTTCAACTAGTCTACCCGACCATGGAGCATCGTCCAGCAAAAAATCTCCAGCACGAAACTTTGCAAACCACTTCTAACACATTCAATCAGTCACAGCACCTTCTACATACACTGCACAAATCTTTTTTTGCATTTCAGTTGTGTTTTTACCTTTCTTGAAATAATAAAGCATAATATGCCGAAAATGTTGGTTTTTTTCTTACATCTTCAATATTAAAATGGCTACGCAAAAATTCACCAATTTTGATAAGATTTTTTAAAATGCATGCTGATATGACAGCTATCACGATACAATCTACCAAAATTGTTTCAAATGAAGTTAGAGACAACTAAGCACTACTAGAGCCATCTTACAGAAAAATCTGAATGAACCTTTTGGCCAACCCAATAAACACTGTTCTCCAGTTCATATATTTGCTTTTCACAGAGGCATGGGTTAGTTACTCTAAAAATACTTTACATGTATCCTAGGATTGAGCAACCAAACAAACATATTGTGAATAATTTTTTTTTTTAAAAGGAAAAGGATTTGATGTTTGAAATGGGCTGTATGGTACAGAGTAGGGAATGGTGCAAAAGGCATTAAACAGCAGAGGCCTGTGACCTACCCAGAAATCCACAAACCTCTGCTCTGGAAGTTAAGTTTCAATGACTCAAAAGAGTACTGGATGACAGGAAGGGAAGGCTGTTCCATGGGAACTGGGACTAAGGGAAGAGGTTATATATTTTCTTTTCTTGGGGCCTGATCCTGGATCGTTGTACTGACTGGACCTCTGAAAGTTTCCTCTCCTTGGTATACTCCTCTATGAAGACAGCAGGAGCTCAGCTAAGGAGCAGTAAAACTGTTGTTCTTTGAGGGTGGTTGCAAAGTAAGGACACTCCAGAAGAGAGAGAGCTCAAGAGGAGTAGGAAGAGACATAGTCAAAAGGTAGGTGTCATCATGTAATACTCTGAGGGTGGGAGCAGCTATCCTTCTGGCAGGCAGCTTTGATCTTTGGCCAAACAACTGTGTCACTGACAAAGACTTGGGTCCAAGGGAAGTCAACTCACAGACAGAGGTCTGGGATCATTTGCTGTTTCACTTGGGCCATGACAATGACAACCCCAGTTAGTTACTTTGCCTGCCCCCTGTCTTGTCTTCTATGAAATCAAGTGGTCATGGATAAGGTTTGGAGTGATGTTTCTTCAAGGAATGCCGCTTAGGGCATTTGAGAAAGGGCCCTTCCCATATTAAGCTGCATGTCACTTTATTGGTAATTGTGACTATTCTTCCAGGGATGCACTGTAGTGGGAATCTCTTTATTATGAAATAGTCTTCCCTAAGAACCTGATGATGTTCAGAGAACTAGAAGAAAAAGCAGAAAAGGTGTCCAATGTCCTGCTCAAACAAGAAAAATGGCATACTATTAAGTTGAAGCAAAAGAAAGAATTATTTGTCAAGAAGTTCCCTGTTTATACACATCAAAATGGGAAACTAGTCTTGCTTTTATTCAGGATGACTGAGTATTCAGAGGACGACCTGGATTCTTTTGTGACAATCAGCACTTGCTCAGGGCAAAAGGGAATCCTGACCTTAGATGGCACTGTCTTTGGTATCAAGCCTATATATATTGAGCATATATGGTTTACAGCATATCTTTAAAATCAGGTGAGTCTTGTGTAATCCGTGGAGATAAGCAAGAGGAGCTCTTAAGCACTTCACAATTTCAGAGAAAAATAGAACCTTCCTCAGTTCCTATGTCCTATATGTGGCCACTTCCCAAGTATGTACAAGTTGATTGTGGTTGACAATAAGTGATTCCAAATGTGGAATAATAATGTTACCAAGACCACAAAGATGTTAATAGATGTCCATGCTCTGGTCAATAGGTACACGAAGGATATAACATGAAAGCGGTGCTTACTGGGTTAGGGATATGGATAGAGAAAACCCTTGTGCAAATCTTCCTGAATTTGCAGGAAACACTTCAAAATTTTATACACTGGAAAGGCCGGAATCTCTTGAGAGGGGTGAAACATGATGCTGCTCATGTGATTATTGGCCAAATTCTTGGGAAGTATGAGGGCCATGCATTTCTCAGTGGTTACCTGCATTGCCAAGAATGAAACCATTGCTGAATCTTTCTTTCATGAAGATACACCACATTTCACAGCTTTCATAGCTCATGAGGTTGGCCATGACTTGGGAATGAAGCATGACCACGTGGCCTGCAAGTTCCATGGCCAGCACCTCTGTACTACGCATGAATTTATTACTGTAGATATGGGCTTCAGCAACTGCAGCTTCCACTATTTCCACCAGCTGTTGCATAAGCACAGAGAGGGCTGCCTATTTAATAGAACTGAGCTCCAAAGCTCTTTTTGAAAGCCATATTGTGGGAATAAGATATTAGACAAAGGAGAAGAATTTGACTACGGCAGTGTTCTTGACTGTCAAAAGGATCACTGTTGTCTGCCCTCATGCCAGTTGAGGAAGGGTTTAAATTATGCATTTGGATCTTGCAGCAAAAACCGCAAATCTCTAAAAGCAACCACAACTTGCCACCTCAGCGTGGATAAGTGTGACCTCCCAGAATACTGTAATGGCACCCCCAAGTGCTGCCACACGGACACCTACAAGCAAGATGGCACTCCTTGCAAGGAACAAGGTTATTGTTGCCAAGGCCGGGGTTGAAGCCTGGAGAATCTGTGTGTTAAAATCTTTGAAAGGGGCACAAAGGTTGCCCAGGAAAGTTGCTAACATTAATGAATACCAAGGGAGACAGGTTTGGAAACTGTGGCAGTGAATCTAAAGGGATATTTAAAGTCTTCAGCAAGTGCAAGGCCAGAGATGTAAAAAGTGGGAGGCTGCTATGAGAAAACATCCAAAGGCTCCCATGCATTGAAAAACATCAAACACCCAGTTCCCCACGCAGAACACATGGTATTGGGGTGCAGAGATTTTTTGAAGCTACAGACTGGGCTGATGAGGAGGAGGTGAAGGATGATACAACATATGGTTCAAGGAAGATCTGTATTAATCAAAGCTGCATAGATACAACTGTACTCCACTATGACCGTAAACTGGACAAGTCATGAAGTCATGGGAGGGGTATTTGCAGAAATTTTAAGAACTGCCACTGTATCTATGTCTATGCCCCTCCTACATGTGAATTCAAGGGTTACATAGTTTGAATAGTGGCCCTCCTACTCTCAGCATGACGAAGAGTTGATAATCCCAATCTTGCCTACCATTTTATTATTTTCCATTCCTACTATCTTTTTATTTGCCTACATCTATAGAATATCTAAGACCAGTGTCAATGCAAAAAATTCATCAGAGAAGCAAGATGAACAAACCTGACATATACTTGATAATTATCTTCTTTCTGGTAATAAAGTCAAATATGAAGTGATACCAATAGGACATTTTAAGAATTGGACTCCTAAATTCTGGTGTCCCTCAAGGTCTACGGAAATGAGAACCTTGCTTCCATCTGTCTTTTTATATGCTGAATTCTTATTAGTTTTTAAATTAAAAGAAGTTAAAGCAGCTCTCTAGGTAAGGCAATCTTTCTTGTTCTGTGCTACCCAGTAATCTGTGTTATACGTCTTAGGAGGCCTCAAGATGTGTTCTTGACATAATGAAGTCAGGTTACCATCCATAGTAAGGCTGAAGCTCATGGCCTAAAACCTAAAGAACTATTATTGAGCTCCCTAACATTTCTACTGAGAACTCCTTTGGAAAGATCTCTGGAACTTACTTTTCAGAGTATACTGTCTAATGCACCATTATAATCTACTCTGTCAATTTCCTCTAATCTTAAGGATTTTGCCTTGCACTGATGAAGGGAATTTACCAGGTGAAAAGTATCTGATTATTAGTTCCAGATGTTTTAGTTGATGTCATTCCAGTTTTTGTCCATTTGGCTTTCCCCTGTGTTTTGGCATCATAGTATCTGATGCCCTGGCCTCAGTTTGGCCTTGTTAATGACTTAACTGGAGAGACCAAACATCACTTGTTATGTGACTAAAGAGGAAGAAACATTAAACATCCCTACCCATGAATGAGGCTCTTCAGTGTGGGAATCTTTTATTTCCCCAAAGGTTAAATTCTACTTGTTAGTCATTCATTCATCTGTTCATTCATTTATTCAATACACATATATTTAGCACTTACAGCCAGATTGAACCATGTAAAATTGATATTAGACCATTTTCACCTACAAAAATGGCAAGTTCATATGGTTCAACCTAATTCTACATCCAAGCACTATGAAACCTACCTTGGGTTTTTGCTTATAAATGAGAGTTGAGAAGTTTTTGATTCAGAGTTTTAGTCCTGATTTCTCTTAAATCTTATTATCCACTGTAACTTCAAAAGACTGGCCTTAATTTTATGGAGCAGGAAGGTTCCTATTGCTAAGGCCTAGAACGGCATGGAATATGTAAGAGACTAGGATGTGGTGTGTATGAGGATCCCACTATCACTTTTTTTTTAATTAATTAATTTATTTTGGCTGCGTTGGGTCTTCATTGCTGCATGCGGGCTTTCTCTAGTTGCGGCGAGTGGGGGCTACTCCTCTTGCGGTGCACAGGCTTCTCATTGAGGTGGCTTCTCTTGTTGCGGAGCACGGGCTCTAGGTAGTGCGGGCTTCAGCAGTTGTGGTTCGCGGGCTCTAGAGCGCAGGCTCAGTAGTTGTGGCGCACACACTTAGGTGCTCCACGGCATGTGGGATCTTCCCTGACCAGGGCTCGAACCCGTGTCCCCTGCATTGGCAGGCAGATTCTTAACCACTGCGCCCCCTACTATCACTTTTTTTGGCAGCTTCTGTCCTTGCTTCTTCTGAGTTTCCAAAACTCTTCAAAAAATGTAAACCCAGGACTTTGTACAACCAAAAGGAGAGTAATAGCAATGTGAAGATCTGAGAAAGTTGTTGCATGCCACACTACTTCCCCCACAACCATGGAGTAGAGAGCCTGGAAATACTTTATATAAATAATAACTTGGAATTTATTTTTTGTAGAAGAGACTTAGACAAATCTAATATCTATTGAAATAATGAGTCTATCTCTTAGGTGGAAAGTGGCTTCATCTCCCTGAATAGTGACTTTACTTGTGAATCAGAGAATAATGATTAGATCCCACCCACTTCACCTAGAGTAGCTACTAACCATGGCACTACACTCCCTTTCACTTCCGTAGTTTAAGGCATGGTTAGAAAAGACTTAAGATGTTCTTCCCAAACATTCCTCCCAAACCATTAGTGTAGAATCATTCCAGTTCTGGATGTTCCAGTTTTACAGTTTCAAAGAATGGTGGAGGTGCTAGTAGCAAAAGCAATGGTAGACTCCAGTGGATCTAGGCCTCTGCTATAGAATCTCTTCTGTGAGCATAATAATGGTGTCTGGGTGTCTGCATCATGCCGAGCTTCTTGCTTTAGTTGGTAGAACTTGTACTGTGTCCAGCTGTATACTCCACAGTTGAGCAGACCCTGAGATGATGCTGTTAGAGCCTGGAGGAGATGAAGGGGTGATGGAGCCCATCCTTCAGATTTTCAGAGATTTGGGGAATAGTTTCCATTCCTCTTATTTATAAATCACTGTTATATTTATTCTATCTCAAAAATCAAAATTTGGTGTCAGTTTTTAAAAAATATTTTTCTAGCTCTTCCTGAACTCACTCTTCACACCATACCTTGTTATGGATGACTGAGAGTTAGTCATATTTCTTAGTATATACATAAGGATAATGAAGTCGTTTCAATGGCCCTCCGTATTGCCCCATTTCCCAGGTTAGGCTTGAAGAAACTGCCCTATCACCATAGTCGGATAGCCCAAAAAACCCTTCTTAAATCTGATAAAGGATGAAAAGAGAGAACCGTTTTTTCTTTACTTCTCTCTCTCCATTCACCTAGAATAGCTAATTTATCCCATTCATTTCACTCTGGGTGAGAGAGAATCATGTCACTATCAGAGTTTCATAAGAACATTATCTGGTAGATCCTTTCTTTTGTTACCCATCCCTTAAAAAAAAAACACATCAATGAAATGAAGTTGGCCTGAGATATACATGCTCTGGAATGCATGGCAGCACTTTCACAAAGGTATCTACCTCATCTGTGAGGAAATTTCCACATTCTTCATGACTGAATATAAATAATATATTTCTCTCTTGCAATGCAGAAAGAAATACCCTAAGGGGAAAAATTGTGCTTACTGAATAATGGCAATGTAAGAGAACAGGATAAGAGAGTATAAGAACAGAAATGCTGGATGTTCAAGGTGTTACCTGGAGAACATAGAGGGCCATGTGAAGTTTGGTGTCCTGTGGCTTAGTCATCTTTATGATCATCAGAATGACAGCTGTGAAAACACAAAGTATAAATCTTGCTGCCAGCCCTGGCTGCCTGAGCATAATTTTTTTCAGTATACACGCCTAAGCATTGTGAGAATTATAGGCATAATGAAGACTAGCAGTGAGATTAACCAGTTATATAAACCACTGGCCTCAGATCTCCAACCGCTATTCCTCATTGATTAAACTTTGCAGATTATTAGAGTAGCAATGGTGGCAAGACATACTACAGGAACATCATAAGTTACAATTCTTAACTTCTTATGTTTACCAAGCCCTTTCATAAACATTATCCTATCTGATCCTTACACTTTAACTTTATGTAGTAGAAAGGGCAGGTGTTAATGTCTCTGAGTTGTCAGTACATTTCCTCTCATATCATCTCACATCTAATTCTCTTAATTTCTAAAACATAAGAAGATACGGGTGGAATGAAGGTAAATTTTACATGCTGGACAGAAATTTGTAGTCATCCTTCTTGGTGAGACTACTTTGCTTGACCACAATCTAATGGTTACCCTTTTCATTGCCCAAATCTTTCCATTAAGATACCCACCTGGGCCCCAGCAGCAAAAGAAGGCCACGGGGTAGAAGCGTACTCGCTGCTCCACAATGTGAATCACTGCCCACTGTTCACTCCCCAGAAAGCCAGTCGATTTCAGAAACTTCTTGTAAAGTGTCTGGGCTTGAATGAGTAAGACCTAAACATGAGTATAGCGGTGAGTAGTCTGCCTAAGGCTTACTAAAACTTCCCAGGTCTAGCCTATCATTTTGGAGAGATCCTTCTCTTAGGATCTGACAGCAGGAAAGACCATCCTCCTGTCTTTACCATCTGAGACCAGGCTTTTTTTGAGAGAAAATTATCTCTAGAGTGATCTTTTGCTTGGCCAGGTAAATTGACAGATATTAGTCAAACTATATATGTTCAATACATAAACCTTACATCAACCCTCAGGCTTTCATTTTTCTCAATGAAGTTAATCACAATATGCATGGGAAGTTAAAACTAAGATCTAACCAGATTCTCTTTTAAAACACTTTATTAAAGGCTGTGTTGCAGGGAGATCAGCTCGGTGCTTTGTGACCACCTAGAGGGGTGGGATAGGGAGGGTGGGAGGGAGACACAAGAGGGAGGAGATATGCGGATATATGAATATGGTGAATTACATGTACAGTACAGCTGATTCACTTTGTTGTAAAGCAGAAACTAACATACCATTGTAAAGCAATTATACTCCAAAAAAGGTGTTTAAACTAAATAAATAAAGGTTGTGTTATTAAGTGTTCTGTGCTTAATACCCCTAAAATAAATACTTTAGCACTGTGACAGAGCTTAAATTCTCAACTCCCAGAAAAAAAGTTTTAGGAAGTCTCTTCTTGCACTTAGATGGAAAACAGATTGTTTTTCCCTTCCATTTGGGAGCAATTTGAATACGGTTTAGTTAATGAAATAAATATAAATCAGTTCAATGTCCTTTTTGTGGGGAGTAAATTAGGTAATAAAATCTGTCCAAATCTGAAACTTTTTCTAATAATCCAGATCCACTCTGTAAGTTAATAACCCAATTACTTAAGGTTAGCCATGTGGTTTCCTTTCCCCACAGACATAGGAATCATAAAGTGGCTTGAACTTATTTGAGAATATTTACATCTAGTAGAATCAGTTCACCGTTTGCTGATTACAAAAGAATCAGAATGCCAGTCCTGAATGCCCACTGAAGCCTGGGTTATTCTGAAGGAGCAAACAGGAATCCCTAGGGTGCCAGGTTTTGGGACACATGTCTCTCCTGTCAATCAGTTCTAAATGAAAACCATCAAGGCCATTTTAATATAAACTAGTCATTGTGCATTCTTTACAAAGTTGCTGATTTGATCTAAGCTATCTCCATAACTTATTTTTGAATTGTCAAAGAAAATTTTCCACAATTGTATTTCATTCACAGATGTTAGTTGTGTTAGCAAAAGGAAAAAAACTGTGGGATAAAGTTGGTCTGCAACCAGATAGTTTATAATTCCTGAAGTAGCATATGAAAAGTGGAGAAAATGATACTGGAAAGTAGATATGACAAATAAAAAGGCATGTTCACTTGCTTACTGATTTCGTACTGGGCAGTTATATATAAATAATGTATTGTCCCATGGATGATTACTTGTCCATCAGTCTGATGATGTCAAATGAGTATTTAATAACTGTCTGAGTCACTCAGCACTTTAAACCCAGTTAGACATAGCATAAATGCAAATTTATAGTCAATAAAGAATTGAGAAAAGAAAACTCTTTAATTATTTGGAAAATTAAAACAGAGAAGATGTCCTGTGTTCCAGAGTATCATACTTTATAAAGAATATACCCGACACATACTAGTTTTCTGGTCTGGTCCTCCATGAGGATCCACAGGAACACATTATTTCTAGAGTGAGCATAATTCTCGCATAATGAATATAGGCTCTTTTCCCCACTCATCATTTGATCTTGGGAAGTCCAAAAGACTGAGGTAGTAATTAAATTATCAATATCTGCTAGACACTTTCTTAGTTCTAGGACTATGAGAAGTGCCTCTCTGCCCCATCTTTCCCAGGCCTGGGTATACTGCCCCATCCCACCCAACCGCCCCCTCTCTTTCCATAAAGGCAAGTAGGGTGGCACCATACCACAATGGTGAGGAGGCTGAGTAGAAAGCTGGCCAGGAAAATGATAAGCCCATAAAAATAAAGTGTGCTACAGACTGATATGTTGGCAGAAGGCAGGACTTTAGCCATGGATGTTGGTGGTGAGTACATCAGGATACACCTAGGAAGAGAATCAATGGTCAGGAATGTTGCTACAGGTATAAGACCAGAGAGATACCTATTTGGTGCAACAAAAGTTAATGAGTATGTAATTTAACTTATCATTTAGCTAAGCCTTGCCCATAATACCTTATTCCTTCTCACTGACACATAATCATCTAGTCATTTTGTGTTGTATTTCTGCTTATATATTTTTGGCCTTGACTGTACAACTTGTCCAAAGCCCATTTCAAATACAAGCACCTTGGCCAGAATGTATGTACAAAGTCTTCCTCCATCTTTGTTTGTAGAAAAGAATAGGTGTAGTCTATTATAAAAATGATAGGTTTGGTCCTTACTTACCTGTGGCTCTGGCTGAAGTTGCGGAAACATTCACTGGCATTGCCCAAACAGAATACAGGTATCATCAATAGTAGAGGTATCAGGCTGGGAGGAAAAAAACTTATCACCCTAATATTCAAACTTTTTTATGCCATTTTCCCTTTGCAAAATATCCTCCTGTCCTTCTTCCAACTCCATCACCCCACCAGCTCTCCGCAAATACATATATTTAATTCCTTCAAGAAAAGTACCTCAAAAACTTAAAGTATACCTTCTTTTCAAGTTCTGGGGGAAGTGGAGTGGGAAATGTATTTTATACCTAGGTTAATAAACCCTAACAGAGTTTCACAGAGAGTCTCTGGGAGCTGTATGATCAGATTAAAAATCCAAGTGGGTAATCGTGAAATGAAAAAGCTACCAAGGAGCTCTGTGATCAGTCTGTTTCACTTTTCATGGTGACCAGTAATAACTTCATTCTCATCAGCTCCTTCCTGAGAGCTTTTCCAAAGCACAGCTTTAAGCAACCAGTTATTTATGCAGCTAAATATATCCAGATCCCTATAAGAGGAAAAGATCTAGGAGTAAAAGTTATAAAGTCTAAAACCAACTCAATGTGACTACCACTTTAGGTGAGATCCAGATCTTTTCTGAGCTTAATAATTTTAAGAGTCTCACCCAATGTTATAAAGGTGAATAAGATCTTGAAAACCACCTACTACAACTTTTCATGATATATGAAAAGGAATTAGAAGTCAAAAGACTTAAAGGGAACTATTTATTGAAGGTCACACAGAGTTAGTGGCAGAATTGGGACTAAAACCTAATCTGAAACTTCAAATTGCTTGCCTATTTTACCTGGGAAAATGGAATCAATGATCACACATTTGTTGTTTCTTACTTAGTAAAGCTCTGTGAGGACTCAGGAGTGACAGAATCAATGGAAATAAGGGCATTGTCCTCCTATTTGTTCCTACCTAGACCCAAGACTAACAAGAATCTACGCCTTGCTAGGAAGGAAAGCAAAAATCTTACCTTGACAAAATGATGGCTATTTGACTAACTCGACAGGTATAACCTATAACCTATGAAAAGAATAAATGTGAGTAATGTCTTAGGATATTGCCAATCATATTACAATAAATACCAGATCATCACTTACCATTTGATAGTACAAAAATTCCCAACAGCAGGTTTACTTCAGTTAAGCAATATTTGATATAAAATTCAATGAAATAGGGGGCTTCCCTGGTGGTGCAGTGGTTAAGAATCCGCCTGCCAATGCAGGGGACATGAATTCGAGCCCTGGTCCAGGAAGATCCCACATGTCACGGAGCAACTAAGCCCGTGCACTACAACTACTGAGTCTGCGCTCTAGAGCCCGCGAGCCACAACTACTGAAGCCCGTGTGCCTAGAGCCCGTGCTCCGCAACAAGAGAAGACACCGCAATGAGAAGCCTGAGCGCTGCAGCGAAGAGTAGACCGCGTGCAGCAACCAAGACCCAATGCAGCCAAAAATAAATAAATTTATTTTTTAAAATTCAATGAAGTAGATAGTTCCTTAGCACTGAAGATAACAGACTTTTATCTGTATTACTATATTGTAAAAAGTACACCAAAAGCCACAAAGAGGGCCTGTAGAAAGTAGCTTAATATAAGATTTGGATACCACAACAAATTCTCTTAAGAAGAAAGGCAAATATGAAATCACACCATAATCCTTCATCTTCTAATAATAGTTCAATCCTCTCCTCTTTTAGATCAAGGGAGGTGTAGACTTTTCAGACCATATGGGTGGAGTAAAAGTCTATGTATAAGACGACCAGCAGAAACCATTATAGGCCAGTTTCAGTATAATAGGGCAGAGTCAGAAAAGCCCTTTGAATATAAGACCTATCTAGAAGAAAGAACATTTCAAAAATTCCCAGTTGCATTAGACACTGTAAAACAACTTACAGAAGAATGGCCCATATCCACTAGGAGTCTATGGAGAGAGATTTTGAAGAGAACGTCTTAATATAATAGAAAACAAAATTTTTTCTATTGGGTTGGCCAAAAAGCTCCTTTGGTTTTTAAGTAAAAATAAAGACACATTTTTCATTTTCACCAGGAACTTTATTGAACAACGTATTCACCATTTTGTTCCACTACCTTCTGCCATTTTTCAGGCAACTTCATAATTCCATCTTCCCCAAACTGTTTAATCTCTTTGAGCAAAGAACTGTTCCAGGTGCCTTTTACAGTCTTCCAGGGAATTGAAATTTTTTCCATTAAGAGAATTTTGTAAAGACCAAAACAAATGGAAATCCAAAGGTGCAATGTCTGGTGAATACGGCAGATGAATCAGAACTTCCCAGCCAAGCTGCAACAGTTTTTGCCTTGTCATCAAGGAAACATGCAGTCTTGCGTTACCATGATGGAAATTTATGCATTTTCTGTTGACTAATTCCAGATGATTTTCCTCAAGCGCTGCTTTCAGTTGTTCTAATTGGGAGCAGTACTTGTTAATCGTTTGATTTTCTGGAAGGAGCTCATAAAAGAGGACCCTTCCAATCCCACCATATACACAACATCACCTTCTTTGGATGAAGACTGGCCTTTGGTGTGGTTGGTGGTGGTTCATTTTGCTTGCCCCACAATCTCTTCCATTCCACATTATTGTACAGTATCCACTTTTCATCGCCTGTCACAATTTGTTTTAAAAACAAAATGTTTTCGTTACATTTAAGTAGAGAATCGCATGCAGAAATACAGTCAAGAAGGTTTTTTTCACTTAACTTCTGTGGAACCCAAACCTCAACGCGATTAACATAACCAAGTTGGTGCAGATGATTTTCAACACTTGATTTGGATATTTTGAGTATGTTGGCTATCTCCTACGTGGTATAATGTTGATTGTTCTCAATTAATGTCTCAATTTGATCGTTATCAACTTCAACTGGTCTATCCAACCATGGAGCATTGTCCACCGAGAAATCTCCAGCACGAACTTCGCAAACCACTTTCGACACGTTCGATCAGTCACAGCACCTTCTCTATACACTGCACAAATATTTTTTTGCACTGCGTTTTTACCTTTCTTGAAATAATAAAGCATAGTATGCCGAAAATGTTGCGTTTTTTCTTCCATCTTCAATATTAAAATGGCTACACAAAAACTCACCAATTTTGATCAATTATTTTAAAATGCATGCCGATATGACAGCTGTCACAATATGATCTAACAAAATTGTTTCAAATGAACTTAAAGACAACTAAGCACTATTAGAGCCATCTTACGGAAAAAGCCAAATAACCTTTTTGGCCAATCCAATATTTTAAGGCAGAGATCATATTATATTCTGGAATGCCATTGCTAGGGATCAATAAGGATTAAGTGAGCAATTAATCAATAATCAGAGCTGGGGGCTTCCGTGGTGGCGCAGTCGTTGAGGGTTCGCCTGCCGATGCAGGGAACACGGGTTCGTGCACCGGTCCGGGAGGATCCCACATGCCGCAGAGTGGCTGGGCCCGTGAGCCATGGCCGCTGAGCCTGCGCGTCCGGAGCCTGTGCTCTGCAATGGGAGAGGCCGCGGCAGTGAGAGGCCCGTGTACCGCAAAAAAAAAAAAAAAAAAAAAAAATCAGAGGTGGGTAACTGATTTTCCCTAAGAACTTTGGATCAGGAATAGCAAATGATTTAAAGTAGAACAGCCAGTGTCGACTTCAGGTAAAATGGGAAATAAGTAAAATTAGTCTTTGGTGACCTCTCCCACTCACGTTTCTTCTTCTCTTTTTATTCTATCTTCTATCCATCATCACGTGGCTACCCTGTGTTTAACTGCTGTTCTTATCCACTGTCAATGAATCTCTGGTAAAAAGCTTACTAGTAATAGTTTAGGGCTGAAGTCTTCCTGGGGTATTTAAAAGAGAACTCAAAAATGAAAAACAAATCTTCAAGGCTCCTGATATAAAGCTATAATGACAGAATAATAGGCAGTGGGGGCAAATTTGGAGATAGAGTTTGTTTTCTTGGAATTAGTGTCATAGCATGGGTTATAAAGAGAAGTATCAATACTGCATTTGTATGCATAGAAAGCAACAGAATATTATATATGAGAGTTAATCTTACATCTCTCCTTCTATTTTCCTTCAAAAATTAAATTGCTCTGTAAGCAACAAGGATATATTATATGGCACAGGGAAATATAGCCATTATCTTGTAATAACTTTATTTTTTTTTATTATTATTATATTTTGCAGTACATGGGCCTCTCACTGTTGTGGCCTCTCCCGTTGCAGAGCACAGGCTCCAGACATGCAGGCTCAGTGGCCACGGCTCACGGGCCTAGCCGCTCCGTGGCATGTGGGATCCTCCTGGACCGGGGCACGAACCTGTGTCCCCTGCATCGGCAGGCAGACTCTCAACCACTGCACCACCAGGGAAGCCCCTGTAATAATTTTAAATGGAGTATAATCTATATAAATATTGAATCAATATGTTGTACACCTGAAACTAATATAATATTGTAAATCAACTATACTTCAATTTAAAAAAAAGGTTAATTTGTTCTACTACCAGGAGCCCAAGACTCAGGATAATATTCCCCCATGTTGTCCCCATCCTTGGCTTCTGGTCTCATGACTACTTCTTTAGAGAATAACTCTGTGCCTGAAGAACTTCTCTCAAATTCCAGTTAGTCTCTTAGCTTATGAGTGAATGAATGAATAAAAACTTTAAATACTATATCTATACATTTCTTGAACTTTTTTGACATTAATCTGCTTGAAGGGAGGGAACTGAACTAATTGTTTCTTTGTAGTATCTTCTAGCTCCAGGATTGTAGGATTATGTAAACAAACATGTAAAATGGATATATAGCCGTGGGTCATTACTAAATTGCAGGGAGTTAAGAAACTATACAAGTTGAAAATATAAAAGAATAATTATAAGGGTTGAATCCTCAGAGGTAAACAAGAGATAAAGGGATCAGAATATAGTCCTGGGCTGTACAATACAGTAGCCACTAGCTTCATGCGGTTAAATTAAAATTAAGATTAAATAAAATAGAGATTAAAAAAAATTAAATGAAATAAAAATTCAGTTCCTCAATCGCATCAGCCACATTTCAAGTGCTCAGTAGCCACATATGACTAGCAGCTATAGAACTGAACAGTACATAAAATATTTTAATCATTGCAAAGAGTTCTATTGACAGTACTTGTACAGACTGTAATATCCTGTCTGGGATGCTGATAAGGGGGTCTCGTCATATTAATTTTTCAAGGATTTCCTTACCGCACTTTGTCCTTACAACAAAAAAGAAAAAAAAGAGAGAAAAAAATTTAAAAGCATTCTATACTCCTGCCCTTTTCCAGCAGTATGTATCTAGAGCAAGGCTACAAAAAGCAAGAAGAGTATCTTCTTAAGAAGTCAGTCAAGTGAGAATTTAAGAGTATTGTAGCATTTTAGAGCTGGAAGAAGACATTAAAAATCACAAAGACCAGCACTTCATTTTTATGATGAAAAGTTGAGGCCCAAGAAAGGGAGATGACATGTCCAAGGACATACAGGAGATAAATGACAGAACTAGGTTTATAAGACAGATCTCCTGATTCACTTTCAAATGCTCTTTTCACAGTGCTATAATACCATTTATTCATTCAACAAACATTTGCTGAGTTTCCCCATATACATGACAGTATACCACTTTCATTTGTTCTAGAACTGATGTGTAGGCTCTGGAAGAAGTATGTTGGGAGGATTTCCAGATTCACTTACTCCATGGTGCTCTTGAACAAAAATTCCCCTTCAAAAAGCCACAACAGAATGGATACTACAGAAATAAAAGGGCTAGAATATTTGTAAGATATGTATAGTAAGATTAAAATACATAAAGACATTTAAAGAAATGAAAATTGCTAACATCAGAAAAATGTCTTCTGTTAAATCACTTAGTGATTTACTGAAAGAATCAGAAATAAGGAACTAAGTGTACTATACAATAGAATACTACTGAGCAATAAAAAGGAATGAATTACTTAGACACACTACAATGAATGAACTTCAAAAGCATTATGCTGAATAAAATAAACCAGACACAGAGACAACATTTTGTATGATATATGAAATGTCTATATGAAATGTCCAGAAAAGGAAAATCTATAGAGACAGAAAGTATATTAGTGGTTGCCTAGCGTAGGGTATGGAAAATGGATTAACAGTAAATGTGAATGAAGGATCTTATTGGGGCAAATAAAATATTCTGAAACTGATCTATGATGATAATTTTACAACCTGGTAAGTTTACTTTTAAAACCACTGAATTGTACACATGAAATAGGTGAACTATGTGACACGTAAGATATGTATACACAAAAAAGAATCCAGATGTACTGACTCACTGACTTTGTGTTCTCCTCTCTTTTTGTAATGCTAGACAGTGCCCCAAACTCTTTGTGAACCAAAGAAGGAAAGACAGTTGCTCCCTGGATCCATCTTGTTTTCTGATTACCACACATGAATTCCTCTGCCCTTCTTCACACCAATACCTGTTACCCACACATACCAAAGAAATACATCAGAGAAGAACAAACACCCTCCCTTTCCAATACCTGTAACCCAAATCCCATGTTAGCTGGCTGAGCACTTTCCCTAACTGCTCTCCAAGATCTTTTTCTTTACTCTAAAAATAATGACGGATTGGCATAGAGCCAAGAAGGATTTCCCTTACTGAAAGGAACCAGGCAGGAATGGCAATACTATAAATAATATTTCCTATAATCAAATCCTGTTGGTGGTGGCGGTGACGGCAAGAGAGAAGAGGAAGTCATGTCAACAGACTGGAAACTACGCCAGTGTTGTTTGAGTGCTGTTTGTCAAGGATGTATGGGTTTGTCTTAGCATATTGTTCATAACTATTAGCTCTGAATAAAACTTACCAGTGGAACTGTGCTCTGTCCACTCTGGTGGGGTTTCATCCTCAGCTCTTTGTACAGGTACCAGATGTAATTGACAGTGTAGAAAAATGAGGAAATGTAGAGTATCTAGGTGAAAATCAAAACAGCCCATCATAACTGTCCCACTATGGCTTCCTTCAATTTTCTACATTATTTTCTGCTGTAAGAATCCTACCTACTGGTCTATTAGTAACTTACCATCTACTATCCATACCATGCAAAACAGGGCCAAGTCTGGGAAACCTACCCAAGGCCTAAAATATGTCCCAGGTTTCTTATTTTATCCTTTTGAATATTCAGAGGAACCACAGCATTATCTACCTCCTCTCACCCAACTGTTCTAATTTTATGAGGATATCATAGAATCTTCTTCTATTTTATTTTTTAATTGCAAAGGACATAAGAAGGGTACAAATGACCTTGTTTACAAAACAGAAGTAGAGTCACAGATATAGAAAACAAACTTATGGTTACCAGGGGATAAGGGGTGGGGGGAGGGATAAACTGGGAGATTGGGATTGACATATGCACACTACTATATATAAAATAGATAACCAATAAGGACCTACTGAATAGCACAGGGAACTCTACTCAATACTCTGTAATGGCCTATATGGGAAAAGAATCTTAAAAAAGAGTGGCTATATGTATATGTATAACTGATTCACTTTGCTGTACACCTGAAACTAATACAACATTGTAAATCAGCTATACTCTAATAAAAATTTTCAAAAAAGAAAAGGCCATAAGAATTTCCATTTCTAATAATGATAGCCTAGGCTGTCTTAACCAAACTTTCCAATCAAAAGAACAAAATATGTTGAATAAAATGTTTTTTAAATCTTTAAAAGCATCAAAGAGCTGACAAGATCACAATGAACCAGCAGCACAAAATCCAAGAGAAGGAATTTCTGCTTCCACCTTTGATGAAATAACATGAATAGAATTTGTCTTTCAGCCTTAAAAACTAAAAATTGGACAAAATATATGAAAACACCGTTTTCAAACACTGGATAACATCATTACAGAACAGTAATCCCTGAAAGAAGAAAAACGAACAAATTGAGTTCATCAAGTTCCCCAGCTACCTGGCTAGGAAAAGTGAGTACAGTGATGGGGAATCCAAACAGAGACAAGCTGTCCTGGTGAGTTGAGGAGACATTTCAGTGTTTGGGGAGGCCAAGGCAGCTAAAATGTGTGAAGCAAATTATCAGAGAAGAGGCAGACACACAGAGACATAGTGCTCTGGAGATGTGCAGAGGTACCTTCAAGTCTTTGATTAAGTATTGATCTACACACATGGGAGAGAAAACCATGAAGAGAAGAGAAAGAAGCACCAGAAAGGAATAGGTGGAACAATCTCCAAAGGAATCCCTGAAGGAGTAGTTTGTGTTCCCATCAGCCAGTGTGGAATGACTTCCTAATCCATAGGCTGGAAGGGCAGTACTGTAGAATAATAAGGTAGAATCATAAGAAGAGTATTGCCTTACTATTGGGACCAAATTAGCTGTACATGAAATACTTTCCTAACTAAAGCTTGAAAGCAAGCCTTCAAAAAATAAAGGATCAAACAGACTCAGAGTTAACTATATATAAGACAAAATCCCCAAATTTAAATGGGATTTATATATGTATATAAAATTTATGCATGTATATAAAACCTAATACCCAACAATGTTAAATCTAGAATGTCTGGTGTCTACTAAAATATTGTAAGTCATGTAGATAAGCAGGAAATTATGGCCCATAACTAAGAGGAAAATTAATCAACAGAAATGGACCCAGATACAACATAGATTATGAAAATTAGGAGACAAAAATGTTAAAGGAACTATTATAAATATACTCAATATGTCCAAGAAGGTAGAGGAAAGCATGAGCACAACATTGAGAAATGGAAGATATAAAAAAGATCCAAGTTGAAATTCTAGAGATTTTAGAAAAATTCTAGAAAAATATAATATATGGAATTTAAAATATGGAAAATTAAAAACCGCAAAAAATTAGTAAACTTGAAGACACAGAAATAGAAACTAAAATGAAACATCTACAGAAAAAAGACTGAAAAAAAATGAACAAAACTTCAGTGAGCTGTGGAATACAAGTGGGCTAACACACCTGGGATTGGAATTCCAGAAGGAGTAGAGAGGAAGGGAGAAACAAAGAAAATATGTTTGAGGAAATAATAACCAAAAATTTTCCAAATATGATGAAAATATTAACCACCATGTCCAAGAAGCTTAACAAAACCAAACATAAGAAACATGAAGAAACCACACCAAGGCACAAGGTAATCATGAATATAGATGCAAAAATCCTCAACAAAATATTAGCAAACCAAATTCAACAACACATAAAAAGAATCATACACCATGATCAAGCTGGATTTATTCCAGGGTCACAAAGATGGTTCAGCATATGCAAATCAATCAATGTGATACACCACATCAACAAAAGGAAAGGCTAAAACCACATGATCATCTCAATAGATGCAGAAAAGAGCATTTGACAAAATTCAACATCAATTCATAATAAAAATTCTCACCAAAGTGGGTATGGAGGGAAGACATCTCAACATAATAAAAGCTACTTACGACAAACCCATAACCAACATAATACTCAATGATGAAAAGCTGAAAGCCTTCTCACTAAATTCAGAACAAGACAAGGATGCCTACTCTCACCACTTCTATTCAGCACAGTATCGGAAGCCCTAGCCACAGAAATGAGACAAGAAAAAGAGATAAAACGTATACAAATTGGAGAGGAAGAGATAAAACTGCCACTATCTGCACATGACATGATACTCTATAGAGAGAACCCTGAAGTCCCCCACAAAAACTGTTAGAACTAATAAATGAATCCAGCAAGGTAGCGGAACACAAGAATATATAGAAATCTGTTGCATTTCTTTGCACTAACAATGAAATATCAGAAAGAGAAGGTGAAAAAACAATCCCATTCTAAATTGTATCCAAAAAAAAAAATACCTAGGAGATGAAAGACCAAGGAGATGAAAGGTGTATATACTGAAAACTACAAAACATTGATAAAGGAAATAGACGATGATTCAAAGAAATGGAAAAATATCCCATGTGCTTGGACTGGAAGGCTTAATATTGTTAAAATGGCCATACTACCCAAAGCAATCTACAGATTTAATGCAATCCCTACTAAAATAACCATGACATTTTTCACAGAACTAGAACAAATAATCCTTAAATTTATATGGAACCACAAAAGACCCAGAATTGCCAAAGCAATTCTGAGGAAAAAGAACAAAGCTGGAGGCATAATGCTTCCAGATTTCAGACTATACTACAAAGCTACAATAATCAAAACAGTGTAGTATTGGCACAAAAACAGATATATAGTACAACGGAACAGAACAGAGAGCCCAGAAATAAACCCACGCACCTAGAGCAAAAAGACACATAACATACATAGGTCAACTAACCTATGACAAAAGAGGCAAGAATATACAATGGAGAAAAGACAGTCTCTTTAACAAGTGGTGATGGGAAAGCTGGACAGCCGCATGTAAATCAATGAAGTTAGAACACTCACTCACACCATATACAAAAACAAACTCAAAATGGTTTAAAGCCTACATATAAGACATGACACCATAAAAGTCCTAGAAGAGAACATAGGCAAAACATTCTCTGACATAAATCGTAACAATATTTTCTTAGCTCAGTCTCCCAAGGCAATAGAAATAAAAACAAAAATAAACACATGGGTCCTAATCAAACTTAAAAGCTTTTGTACAGCAAAGGAAACCATCAACAAAATGAAAAGACAACCTATGGAATAGGAGAAAATATTTGCAAATGATGCAATGAACAAGGGGTTAATATCCAAAATATACAAACAATTCATACAAATCAATATCAAAAAAAAAATCAAACAACCCAATCAAAACATGGGTAGAAGACCTGAATAGACATTTCTTTAAAGAGGACATGCAGATGGCCAACAGGCACATGAAAACATGCTCAACATCACTAATTATTAGAGAAATGCAAATCAAAACCACAGTGAGGTAACACTTCACACCAATCATAATGATTACCATCAAAAAGTCTACAAATGAAAATGCTGGACAGGGTGTGGAGAAAAGGGAACCATCGTACATTGTTGATGGGAATATAAATTGGTACAGCTACTATGGAGAACAGTATGGAGGTTCCTTAAAAAACTAAAATTAGAGTTACCATATGATCCAGCAATCCTACTCCTGGGCATATACCCAGAGAAAACTCTAACTTAAAAAGATACATGCACCCCAATGTTCACAGTAGCACTATTTACAATAGCCAAGACATGGAAGCAAACTAAGTGTCCATCGACAGATGAATGGATAAAGAAGATGTGGTTATACATACACAATGCAATATTACTCAGCCATAAAAAAGAATGAAATAATGCCATTTGCAGCAACACAGATGGACCTGGAGATTATCATACTAAGTGAAGTAAGTCAAGGAATTCCTTGGTGGTCCAGTGGTTAGGACTTGGTGCTTTCACTGTTGTGGCTTGGGTTCAAACCCTGGTTGGGGAACTAAGATCCTGCAAGCTGTTCTGCGTGGCCAAAAATGAATAAATAAATAAGTGAAGTAAGTTAGACAATGAAAGATGAAACATTTATATACGGAATCTAAAAAAATGATACAAATGAACTTATTTATAAAACAGAAACAGACTCATAGACATAGAAAACAAACTTATGGTTACCAAAGGGGAAAGGTGGGAGGGGGATGGATAAATTGGGAGTTTGGGATTGACGTATACACACTACTGTATTTAAAACAGACAACCAACAAGGACCTACTGTATAGCACAGGGAACTCTGCTCAATATTCTGTAATAACCTAAATGGGAAAAGAATTTGAAAAAGAATAGATATATGTATATGTATAACTGAATCACTTTGCTGTACACCTGAAACTAACACAACACTAAATCAAAATAGTCCAATATAAAATGAAAACTTTTAAATAAAAATAAATTAAAAAAATAAAAATTAGGGCTTCCCTGGTGGCGCAGTGGTTGAGAGTCCACTGCCAATGCAGGGGACATGGGTT